ATGCACCACTATGAGGAAGAAGAGAGATTTCTGAATTAGATAGCAATGTGATTAGCATGTTAACTAAGCACATAAAGGAAGCGCTGATCTAGTTGAGCACCCTGATTTCACAGGAGCCAACAAGATGCCTCTAAGGAAGACCAGAAGCGGGGCATGGAGGCAACATCCCTGCCCTACTGTGCTCCTCAGTGCACAGTTAGTATTCAGTGACATACTATCTTTGAATGTAGCTATCATGAAAACAGCTACTGACAGCCATGTCCTCCATGAATGCCTCCACCTATATTGTTACTACTATATATACTATATTGCTCCTACTCAGATCTCAGGATGAGGCCCTCTTGGCTGAGGAAATACACCTTGAATCAATCAGGGAGAGACATTTCTCTGCCACGGTGCCTAGTTTATGGAGCAATCTCTTCCCCCCAAGGAATATGGCAGGCACCAACCTTGCTGAGTTTTTGGTGCCTTCTTAAAAACATTTATTAATCCAGGCCTCTGGGAATTACAGATAACTGGGTTTGATCACTGTTCTAGTTACTGAACTAATTTGTATTTATTTTGATGTTTTAAATTGGTTTGAGGTCACTGAATTATCTTTTAAGGTTGTAAACCACCTTAGAATTGGTATGGACAGTGGTGTGTTTGTTCTTCAACCCTCTGATAAATTTGGTTGTACTTTTTGACACTGTTTCCAACTCAACAATTTTTTTTTGGAGTTGCGCTAGCTAGAACCAAATGTAGTCACAATGCCAATTTGCATAAAGCCATTACAAATACTGCAAATTGTATCTACAGTTCCTTTCTAATTATATCTAGCATAAAATTTGCCTTTTTTCACAGCTACCACATGCAGAGCTGACATTTTCATTGAACTATACACCCAACCCCAAGATTTCTTTCCTGGCTAGTTATCACTGCTTCAGATGTGAAGTTAGGAATTTTAGCCCCAACATGCATCATTTCCCACATATTGAACCTTATTTGCCATTTTGTTACACATTTATTCATTGCAGTCTGACTTCAATAATTTTGGGAGATTGTAAACTTGGGCTCCTCACTGCTCACTGTTCAGCTTAACAACAGATCATTGATGAAGATGTGAAGTAGTACCAGTCCCAATACAGAACCTTGAGGAGCCCAATTCTTGCTCCTCTCATTTGTCTTTCCCTCTGTTTCTTGCCATGTAACCAGTTATTAATCCACAAGAAGACCTGCCCTCTTATTTCAGATTTACTCGGGAATCTTTATCAAAAGTGTTTGAGAAATTCCAGCATATACTTTCATCCAGTCTTATTCACATTCTTGTTGAATTCTCAAACTTCAAAAAGTTTGGTGAAACATGACTTAACATTGCACAGGCCATGCTGATATTCTTAATATCACAGTTTATCCAGAGCTAATATTTATCTAATCTGCCCAGAATTTCCTGGACCTATACAGGATAATTTTTTTATTAAAAAAATAGTGTTGTGTTGCCTACTTCCCATTCTTCTGATAGAGGCCAATTTAGGGACAAGGTTCATATTTTGACTACAAGTCTAACAACATCAACTGCACATTTCCCTTCTTTCAAAATTCTGGAACCTGGATGCAGTTTTTGCAAATAAAAAAAATCTTAATAGGAGAGAGCTACTTTATCAATTAATCCTCTCTTTCTCTACTAATGCATGCAATGGAAGCAGAATTCCCCTTTATAGTGCAGTAAAACCATTTTTATGGGTGTTCTAGCCATCTCATATCTTGATGTATTTTTTAATCAAAATGTATAAGAACAAAAAGTCAAGTGAGCATAAATCTCTCTTTGCTTACTAAGACAGAGAAACCCTTTTTGGATATATTTTAATACCCCAGCTTTCTATAAATTATAACTTGTCTTGAGATTTACATGAAAGCGAGATAGTCAGGCTGCAATCCTATGCCTACTTACCTAGGATTAAGCCCCATTGAACACCACCCGATTTACTTCTAAGTAGATACAGATGACTCTCAAGGTCCTTTCCAACTCTACATTTCTATGATTATATGATTTCTAGGATTGCATAATTTTCAGAAAACAATCTGTGCATCCCTGAAGTAAGAAAAGTCTTACTTCAAAGTCTAGTTCCTACATCATTTTTATATGACAAATTCAGCATGATTTGAGTAAACTTTCATTGATCTCATGAAGGGAGTAGCACTGGCTTCCTCCAAACCATAGTTTGCATTTTGGGAGCCAGTCCAAGTGAAAAACATGTGCTCCCTTTCCACTTCCTGTAGCAATTTCCCTCATCTCAGCACTAGCCACAGTTTCATGTGCACTGTTATAAACTATGGTTAGAACAAAACACAGGTCTGATTTTTATTTTTATTTTACTTTGGTTTGCAACATACTTAAAACATGGTTTCTGTCTCTGGTTCATGAAAGAACTATGGGTTGTGTAGGTGCAATGCAAAACCACAGTTAATGATGGGAAACTGTTCCGGAGGACAAAAGGGGAGAGGAGAGTATATTGCCAGTGTTCCATGTGCACTAGGACATTTTCACATGTATGTTTTCTCACTCTCAAGCATATAAAACTAAACAGTTGAGAAGAAATTCACACACTATTTTCTGGAAAGGCAAAAATGACTGCTACAGCAATTCGACTTTTAACTTGGAATTCTACAAAAAATGTAAGAAATTGAGAAGAGTCCTGTTAGGTCAGGCCAAAGACCTATTTGCACCACCATTCTGTTCCCACAGGGGCCAACCAGATGCTTATGGGAAACCCACAAGTATGCACTACCTCGCTGTTCCCTGGCAAGT